CCCCCCCCATACAGACTGCAGCCAGTATTCCTGTAGATCAGCCAGAGTGCAAAGGCTCAGAACACCATTCCAGGACTTCTGTGTCTTCTGGGCTTTATCCTATGGCAGGGTGGTCTGTGGTCATGTGACTGCACGGTACCAGCTCCATCTATCCAATGACAGGGGATGACGGGAAAGATAGCAGTGCTAGTGGTCATAATGGACCAGCAGCTTCCTTACCCCACTAGCTATGACCCCTGACAAACCATACTGACTCCAGTGATGTTGTTGTGATTGGCCAGTAATATCAGTGACGCTCTTGTATGGGGTCGCTGTACTTCCCACGGTGATCTCTCACCGACTCCTTTCAGATTATCTGCAATGTGTCTTATCTCTGATTGGCTGCATTTCCTGCACATTATGTACATCTCAGATAAACATTTCTAGTGGAAAAGTCCAAAACAAAGAAAACACAAAGAAATGCGCATGCGGCTGGGCGAGGAACATTTCCTACAATGAGCCATTTCAGGGGCACAAAGATGACCTCCTTCTGTAAATATTAGTTGCCTGGATGTCATGGTCATCCTCTGACTTCTTTACTGACTTGGGACCAAGTGAAAGCCCAACTATATAACTGCCCGTTCGGCATTGCGGTCATCGGAAGCCCGCCCCTCAGGGGGCGTGGCTTGAGATCATCGCAAGTACGATCTGCCTATGCAAGATAGGCAGATCGTACGTTTTTTTAAGTACCTTACAACCATCGCAAGACAAAAGTCTTGCGATGGTTGTAAGGTGTGTGCCCAGCCTTCATAAGTTTAAAGTCGTGCGGCCCTACAGTAGTAGAGGGCGCACGGTTTCCACACACCTTACGATAATCGTACGATCGCGGGATTTCCCGCGATTAGCGTACGATTATCGTAAGGTGTGTGGGGACCTTTAGGTTAGAAGTCAGAACTCCCGATCTGCAAGTCAGTGACACCCTCCATATTTGACTTTCTTTCCTGACCTCCTTCTGAACATGCTCTTTGCCTCTTGTCTCTGGCTTCAATCAAATGATTCAAAATGCAAGCTGCAGTAACCCATAGCAGCCAATCAGAATTTACTTTACTGAAGCGGCACAAACACCGGATGAATTCTGATTGGACGCTGTGGATTCCGCACACTTTTTTTGCTCCTTGCACCATGTTAGTGTTTGCATCTGATGACTTTTAGTCATTAAAATGCACCCAGATGGTTCTATTTTGAAGGGAGATATCAGATAAAGACGCGTCTAATATTACATTGTAGAAATTGTTTACTGATAGACGCCTGAGCAGGGGAGGGATGAGAAGCGAAGCAGACCAATCATTGCTGGGACTTGTGAGTCTAGCAACCAGGCAGGACATGCTGAGACTTGTAGTTCCACAGCAGCCGCACAATACAAATATTCTGATATATTATTATATTCCCTTTTAAGATGTGTGTGGAGGCAATGCCAGGACAAAGTCCTATAACACCCAAAGTGTGCCCCCTTCCCTACTAGCTGTGAACTCATTTCGTGCCATAGCTACACTTTTTGAAACCCACTCCCCTCCTGATAAAACGCCAAAGGCAGCTGCCCCTTCTGCCTACGCCTCAGCCTGACCTTCCATCGAGACAGCATGCAATGCAATTGTAAATTATTCTAGCCTTGGGGACAGAAAAAGTGGAATTTTAATAAAGACAGGAGGCGAGCCTTGCCATTAACTTCTTCTACATTGAATGGTAAAACTTAGAAGGGATTCTGTGGGAAACATAGTTGAACACGTTGGGGATACTGCTACTTAAAGTGCATCTAAAGCCAAATGTAATTTTTCTTTGTTTTGTTTTGGATAAAGAAGGGGAGGATTAGACCCCCTGTCAGATTTTTTTATTGCTGGGAAGATTTACCCTCTCTGTCATGGTGAACAATATAGATGAATAGAGTACAGGGGCTGTATTGTGTATAAAGACATCCAAAGTGCAACACACACACACCAGAGGATCAGTACTGCGTATAAGGTGATGACAATAATAATAATAGTAATAAAATACATGATAGATAAATAGATATAGAAATAGATATAGGGAAATACACTATGGATGATTAATAAAGTGATATACCTTAGTGAAATAAAGTGATACAAAGTGTAAGACACACACACCAGAGGAACAAAACTGTGTATGAAGTGATGATAATAATTATAACAATGATAAGAATAAAACAATCATAATAATAGAATGCCGCACACACAGTACAGAGTACAGAGGAGGTGTACAATGATAGTAAAGTTATAGAATATCGCACACACAGAGCGGAATGCAGTACAAAGGAGGTGTACAATGATAGTAAAGTTATAGAATATCGCACACACAGAGCGGAATGCAGTACAAAGGAGGTGTACAATGATAGTGAAGTGATAGAATATCGCACACACAGAGCGGAATGCAGTACAGAGGAGGTGTACAATGATAGTGAAGTGATAAAATATCGCACACACAGAGCAGAATGCAGTACGGAGGAGGTGTACAATGATAGTGAAGTGATAGAATATCGCACACACAGAGCAGAATGCAGTACAGAGGAGGTGTACAATGATAGTGAAGTGATAAAATATCGCACACACAGAGCAGAATGCAGTACGGAGGAGGTGTACAATGATAGTGAAGTGATAGAATATCGCACACACAGAGCAGAATGCAGTACGGAGGAGGTGTACAATGATAGTGAAGTGATAGAATATCGCACACACAGAGCAGAATGCAGTACGGAGGAGGTGTACAATGATAGTGAAGTGATAGAATATCGCACACACAGAGCAGAATGCAGTACAGAGGAGGAGTATAGAATGTCGCACACAGGGATGGTGGAGTGACACGATGTGATCCTACATAGTGCTGTCTGCTAGTATTACTCCCCCAGCAGTAGGGGGTTAAAGGGGGGGGGGCGTCCTCACGCTGTGATTGGTCGGCTGTAATCCGGGATCGGATCGTGGTAAAGATAATCTCCGATCAGAGAGGGAACGGTAGGAGAAGAGCTGGCCGGAGAACTTGGGGTGTCCATTGTCGATGCTCTACATCCTTCTGCCCGGCTGTGTGGGGCCCGGGGCCCATTCCACTATCCCGCCCGACACGTGAGTCTTCTTTCTGCTACTTCGACTTTTATTCACACTATTCCGTAATTATTGCCCCTCCGGAGCCCCTACCGTCTCCTTACTGTCATAACTACTGCCCCTCCGGAGCCCCTACCTACTCCTTACTATCATAACTACTGCCCCTCCAGACCCAGGAACCTCTACCTACTTCCTACTACCATGACAGTTGTCATTCCTGACCAAGGAGCCCCTACCTACTCCATATTATCATAAATACTGCCCCTCTGGAGCCCCTACCATCTCCTTACTATTATAATTACTGCCCCTCTGGAGCCCCTACCTACTCCTTACTATCATTACTACTGCCCCTCCGGACCCAAGAGCTCCTACCTGCTCCCTACTATCATAACTACTGTCCCTCCTGACCCAGGAGCCCCTACCTACTCCCTACTATAATAACTACTGTCCCTCCAGACCCAGGAGCTGCTACTTACCTTCTACTGCCATAACTACTGCAACTCCAGATCCAGGAGCTGCTACTTACCCCCTACTACAATAACTGCTGTCCCTCTGATCCCAGGAGCCACTATCTACTCCTTACTAACATGACAGTTGTCACTCCAGACCAAGGAGCCCCTACCTACTCCTTACTATCATGACTACTGTCCCTCCACCCCGACTACAATAACTACTGTCCCTCTGATCCCAGGAGCCACTATCTACTCTCCTTACTACCATTACAGTTGTCACTCCAGACCAAGGAGCCCCTACCTACTCCATACTATCATAACTACTGTCCCTCCTGACCCAGGAGCCCTACCTACTCCCTACTATAATAACTACTGTCCCTCCAGATCCAGGAGCTGCTACCTACCTTCTACTGCCATAACTACTGCCCCTCCAGATCCAAGAGCTGCTACCTACCCCCTACTACAATAACTACTGTCCCTCTGATCCCAGGAGCCACTATCTACTCCTCACTACCATGACAGTTGTCACTCCAGACCAAGGAGCCCCTACCTACTCCTTACTATCATAACTACTGTCCCGCCGGACCCCGGAGCCCCTACCTACCCCCCCCCCCCCCTACCATAACTACTGCCCCTCCAGATCCAAGAGCTGCTACCTACCTTCTACTGCCATAACTACTGCCCCTCCAGATCCAAGAGCTGCTACCTACCTTCTACTGCCATAACTACTGCCCCTCCAGATCCAAGAGCTGCTACCTACCTTCTACTGCCATAACTACTGCCCCTCCAGATCCAAGAGCTGCTACCTACCTTCTACTGCCATAACTACTGCCCCTCCAGATCCAAGAGCTGCTACCTACCTTCTACTGCCATAACTACTGCCCCTCCAGATCCAAGAGCTGCTACCTACCTTCTACTGCCATAACTACTGTCCCGCCGGACCCCGGAGCCCCTACCTACCCCCCCCCCCCCCTACCATAACTACTGCACCTCCAGATACAGGAGCTGCTACCTACCTTCTACTGCCATAACTACTGTCCCTTCAGGTCAAGGAGCTGCTACCTACCCCCCTACTTCAATAACTACTGTCCCTCTGATCCCTAGAGCCACTACTTACTAAGATGACAATTGTCACTCCAGACCAAGGAGCCCCTACCTACTCCTTACTATCATAACTACTGTCCCTCCAGACCCAAGAACCTCTATCTACTCCTTACTATCATAACTACTGCCCCTCCATACCCAGGTATCCCTGCCTACTCCTTACTATCATAACTACTGTCCCTCCAGACCCAGAAATCCCTACCTTCTCCTTACTATCATAACTACTGTCCCTCCAGACCCAAGAACCTCTATCTACTCCTTACTATCATAACTACTGTCCCTCCAGACCTTGGAACCTCTACCTACTCCCTACTATCATAACTACTGTCCCTCCAGACCCTGGAACCTATTCCTACTCCCTTTTATCATAACTACTGTCCCTCCAGACCCAGGAATCTTTACCTACTCCCTACTATCATAACTACTGTCCCTCCAGACCCAGGAACCTCTACCTACTCCCTACTATCATAACTACTGTCCCTCCAGACTCTACAACCTCTACCTACTCCCCACTATCATAACTACTGTCCCTCCAGACCCAGGAACCTTTACCTACTCCTTTTTATCATAACTACTGTCCCTCCGGAACCCAGGAACCTCTACCTACTCCCTACTTTCGCAACTACTGTCCCTCCGGCCCCCGGAACCCCTCCCTTCTCCCTACTATCATAACTGCTGCCTTTCCAGATCCAGGAGCTGCTACCTACCTTCTACTGCCATAACTACTGCCCCTCCAGATCCAGGAGCTTCTACTTACCTTCGACTGCCGTAACTACTGCCCCTCCAGATCCAGGAGCTTCTACCTACCTTCTACTGCCATAACTACTGCCCCTCCAGATCCAGGAGCTTCTACCTACCTTCTACTGCCATAACTACTGCAACTCCAGATCCAGGAGCTGCTACCTACCTTCTACTGCCATAACTACTGCCCCTTCCGATCCAGGAGCCTCTACATACCCCTTGCTATCATAACTACTGCCTCTCTAGACCCAGGAGCCTTTACCTACCCCTTACTACCATGATAACTGTCACTCTAGACCCTGGAGCTACTCCTTACTATCATCACTACGGCCTTTCCAGACCCAGGAGTCCTTGTCTACCCCCTACTATCCTAACTACTGCCTCTTCTGGCCCAGGAGCCCCTACCTACCCCCTACTACCAAACCAACTGTCCCTCCAGACACAGAAGCTGCTACTTACCCTCTACTGCCATACCTAGTGTCCCTCCAGACCCAGGAGCTGCTACCTACCTTTTACTTCCATACCTGCTGTCCCTCTCATCCCAGGAGCTGCTACCTACCCCCCTACTACTATAGCTACTGTCCCTATGGCCCAGGAGCGGCTATCTACCCTCTACTACCATAAATATTGTCCCCCCCAGACCCAGGAGTTGCTACCTACCCCTTAGTTCCATAACTACTTCACATCTGGATCTAGGAGCCGCTACATACCCCTTCTTCCATGATTACTGCCCCATTCGGACTCATGAGCCTCTACATACCCCCTACTAGCATGACTACTGTCCCTCCAGACCCTGAAGACTGAAGACCCACTACCTACCCCATACTACCACATAATTACTGCCCTTCCAAAACCAGGAGTCTATACCTACCCCTACTACCATAACTGCTGTCCCTTCAGACCCAGAAATCCCTATCAGCCACCTACTAAGATAACTACCAACCCTCCAAATTCAGGAGCCCCTTCCTTCCACCTACTCTCGTAATTACTGCCACCCTGAACACAGAAGCCACTTCTTACCCTAACCATTACTCCTTTGGACCCAGGAGCCTCTACTTACCCCCCATTCCCCAGTTATTACCTAACCAGACTCAGGAGCAACTAATATCCCAACTACTGCCACAATAACTTTCCCACCAGAAGGAACCCCTACTTACCTCCTACCCCCAATATTACCCCAGCTACCTCCCAACTGGACCTATGAGTCACCTTTCTGCTACTTGCACACTCTGTTAGACCAACTACACCCAACACGAGAGTCGCTAACATCGCTACCTGTCTACACCTACTTTATAAATGTCACTATTATCTACCCATCATCTTCTACTTGCTGCTTTCACCAATCACCTACCTGACTTATCTGTGGGCTTCTGCTGCCATGTATACAATATGCAATGATTATATCTATCTATCTATCTATCTATCTATCTATCTATCTATCTATCTATCTATCTATCTATCCATCTATCTTTCCTGAAATGTATCTGTTGTCACTGGTATAAGAACACTGCTCTGCCCTGTCCATCCCTACTGTCTGGAGTATCCGCTTACCTCTACTGTCTAATGCCACCTACTACCCACTGCATAGCCCACCTATCTGTTGTGCTATCTGCCTTCACTTCTAACTGTAACCCCCTGTCTACCACTCTCATCTATCTATATTTCCCCATAATGTGTAAACTACTTCTTAGCTAAACCTGCCCACCATCCTCCACCAGCTGCCCCTGGTAGCATATACATTTCTATACCATGCTGACGTCTAGAGCTTCAGCCTGTGCCCATCCTTCCTGGCAGACATCTACTGCCCCCCCTCCTCCTTATCTGTCTGCCAACAGTTCCCAACACCTACCTGTATGCTGTGCCAGTTGTCTGCCATCCAGTTTTCTGGCTACCTACCTCTGTGCCCACTACTTGCTTCCAAAAACCCTTCTCCCCTGCTCATTTACTTCCTCCTAATGCTGGCTGGGAAACCTACAGAAACCCAGTTATCTTAACACTACAATTCCCAGCATGCTTCCTTCCTGCCTCCGGACTGTAAGGGAACAGCTTGCCCATATCTGTTTTTCTACCTTGGTACTGACCAGTGAATGATTTATATTCTGTTTACAGGTCTCCTTGTCAATATTTTACTTTTTCAAAGGTTTTGCTACCAAAATCTGAGCTGAATGATTTAAAAGGTATTCAAGTTTTCATAATACAACTACAGAAATACATTAGATATTGTCTGTCTGTATAGCAACAGAAGAATACTGTCTGGTGATACGAGTTCACTCTTAAAGGGTCAGTTCACCCAGAACAAATATGTCAGCTGTTGATGGATGCTGAAGTTTAAAATCCCCTCGACTGTCTCTTCTATCTCGCAGAGACTTATGTCTTTCACACCTGCTTTGCCCATTTTGAGGGGTTCCCACAATCCCCCCACCAAGTTCCTGGGTCTGCATACCTGCTGTGCCCATTATGAGGACTCCCACCATCCCTGTGCTGAGTTCCTGGGTCTGAATTCCTGCTGTGCCCATTATTAGGACCTGTGATCACCTCTGTGCTGAGTTCCCAGGATTGTACACCTGCTGTGCCCATTATGAGGGGTGCCCACCATCCCTGTGCTGAGTTCCTGGGTCTGAATTCCTGCTGTGCCCATTTTTAGGACTTGTTACCACCTCTGTGCTGAGTTCCCATGATTGTACACCTGCTGTGCCCATTATGAGGGGCTCCGGCCATAACTGT